GAAAGAGGTGGGGAAGGATGAGCTGGCAAAGCAGCACCATAAGTATCTGCTTTAGGAGTCTGGGCTCTACCCTGGTGGAAATGGAGGCCCATAGATGGTTTTGGTGTAGGGGTCCCATTTTCTGAAAGACGTGAGGACAGGCTATATATTCTCTCCCTCTTTGAGGCTCACAATAAGAAACTGATGTAAGGCCATACAAGTTGGTTGAGCTCTACCAATGCAGAAAACTAGGCAGTGTCCACCTATGACCTTCAGCTTCCATTCAAACTCTTTTGTGTCTGGCCTCCAGAGCCCTATCTCTAGCCCTTGCTACCACCTGCTGCCCTTGCTTGGAGCCTTAACTCTGCTTAATGCTCTGATTTCTTGCTCTCTCCACAACAGTACCACCAACTTTGAACTCCAGTTTCAATTGACTGCATTTTTAAAAATTAATAGATAATAATTGGATGTACTTACGGGATACAGTATGATTTTTCAATCTATATGTACAATGTGTAATGATCGAAGCAAGGGAATTTGCATAAAATCAGGATTATAGCACCTTAAACATGTACCATTTCTTTGTGTCAGGAAGATTCAAAATCCTCTCTTCTAATTATTTTGAAATGTATGATAAATTCATTTTTTTTTTATTCATGAAGGCACCATATGCTGTGTTTTTGTGCTCACTGCTCCTTCTGTCTGTTTTCTCCCCACCTTGTCCACCTGGCAAATATTTATCTGGCTCTACCCATCCTGTCCTAATGCCACTCCAGTTCTGCACTGCATACTACCTTAATGTCTCTGACATGGCATTCCCTCTTTGTTTACCACCTTTTCCCCAATTAGATGATAGCCCCTCAAGGTTCAGGATGGTATGAAACTCATCCCAGTATCCTCGTGCAATGACTAACAGGTCTTGACCACTCATTCCATTCATTCATCCCTCAATAGACACTCTTATTCATTGAAAAAACTGTTCAGCAAAGTCTGGGGTGAATAGGTGGTGGGCTGAATGTTTCTAATAGACAAGAAAATAAATGAAAACATGAGGGAAATAATCAATGCATACATGAGTAAGTGAAGACATGAATGGACGAGGGAATAATTGAATGAATGCATACATGAGAAAATGAATACACTTTTTAAAAGAGATGATGTAGGCCAAAGCTCTCCTGTCTGAGAAAACAGCTTCAAGGATACGAGATTCAGGAGAGAAAGGGGGTCTCCCTTTAGGTCTCTCCTAGACCAATAGGAGGAGGATGCAATTGAAACACACATCTCTCTGGTCATGGTGAAGGGTGGCCCATCCTGAGAATGCAGCTACAGGTCAATGTACAGATTATACTCCCAGAGGTCTCACATGGGCTCCTGGTAAGATTATGCATCTTTATGTAGCTTTCAAGAACCCAGTCTCTCCCTCTTGGAGCCTCAGATATTAGACTCCATGATTCTGCTGGGCCCTCAGGGGAGTAGAAAATTGACCCCAATTTCCTGGAGCCTTGGCCTGAACCTATGATGCATTTGGCCTCCAGCCCCTGAAGGGCTGCAGAGCTCAGCACTATGTGGGCCAGAACTGGCTGGAGAGCTTGGTTTGCAGCAGAGAATGTATTAGAACTGGCAGGAACCTAGTCAGGGAGTTTCAAACTGGGAAGACCCCACCGTGGAAGGTGGGAGCATAAAGCACTGGTCTTGCTGCCTCCAGTCTCTGCCCTGCCAATTTTCATTTGGCACTTCCAGCTGCTAACTCTACTTTAAAATCACACTCTTTTCTGCTAAGACACCTTGGTCTTCAGAATGAGGCATGCTCCTGAGATGACACTGTGGGGCTTTCACAATGAAACTCAGATTTCTAGCCCCATCTCTTGCCACGAGCCTATCTTTCCTTCTAGTCAAGTAAGCCATGTTATCTCCCCTGCACAGTTCTCTTGCTTCCCCCCTCCTGGCTGTGCCCTTTGCAAAACAGACTTTCTGGAGCTTTCCTGGATTTTCAAATCCTACTTTAGAACTAGAGCTTGATGTATTTAGCCCTTGTCTACCACCTGCCACAGACCCTCAGAGGAGATCATTGCTGATTGAGTGCAGTTTGGCCATAAAAGATCTACTGTAATTGGCCCAGTCATAATGGCCTAGGCAGTAGGGGTGCTACAGTGCAATGCTGAAGGTGATATGGGCCATGGTTCTGACCAACTGCAAGTCTCAGGGGAGGACCCCATTGAGATGCTTCTTTATCTCTCATGTATAATTATTTAAAAATCTGTCATGTTGATGAACCGGTCTAGGAAGACCAGGAGACTATTTTTTTCCAGCTGCTGAACTAACTAGATACGTTTGGCTCTAAATGCACAATTCTACATGGTAAGTTGAAATCTCTTACAGGAGGGCCAAGTACCCTCAGTAAAAGCTTACCTTTCTTACCTATGCATCTGTCTGAAAAAAAAAAAAAAGAAAAAAGCATGCTGTGCTCTCTTATTCTCCCCTACACAGGTCCACAGAGAGCTGAACACATGCAATAATTATATTATCAAACACCTATTGATTGCCTTATGTTTAAAATATCATTTTAATAATGCAGTAGAGTAGAAATTATGTCCTTTTTACAGATTTGGAAACTGAGACTCAATTAGCAAGTGAAAAAGTGAGTTTTTGTTTCATGCTAATATAATGGTTAAGACCATGGACCTCAGTCACCTGCACAGGGTCTAATCCCAGGTCTGCAATGTACTAGCTTTGTGTACTTAGAAAGTCCCTTAACTTCTCTGTGCCACAATTTCCTTGAGTGTTGAATGGGCATAGAGTCCACTAACCTGAGAGAGAGGTCATGAGGACTGAATAAGTCAGTTTATGTGAAGCATTTAAAGCCCAACACATACACAATGGGCTCTGTGAGCATTAGCCAAGGCTCTTAACTGTTCTCCTCTACTTACTCTAAGGGAAACCCAGAATTGACCTAACAAACAGCATCTTAGAAATGGCAGTATTGGGACCAGGAGATGGTGTAATGGTTATTATCGCTGGACTCCCACCTAGTCGACCATGGTGCAAGTCCCAGACCAGGCAGCTTAAAACTCACTCTGGGTGTGTGTGCATACATGCCCAAGATCCCAAGAGGAGAATGGAGGAGAAGGGATTGTGGCATAGCCATTCCCCCTGGGGTATGATTTCTTGCTTTCTGTCTCTCTGGCAAGCACATTTATCCTACAGCAAAAACAAACAAACAAACAAAAACAAAAAAAGAAAAAGAAAAGGAAAAAAATACTCAAAAAGAAAAAGAAAGAAAGAAAGAGAGATGGCAGTGCCTAGAAGGAAGAAGCAACATGCCAAGGTCACAGACCGGCAGTGCTGGGACCACATTTCTTGACTGTAATACTCTGAAATGGAAGGGAAGAAAGACAGGGAGAAGTAGATTTTTCAGCTTAGTAGAAATTAAACAAAATAATGGCAGAAAGAAACATGGCAGCATCAGGATAAGATATAACCAGGCTGTACAGTGCAGGAGGCAGATTGGTAAGCTTTGGAGGCAGCCTGACCTAGTAACGGGAGTCTTGGTTCCACCTCTTCCTAATTGTGTAAC